CCTGTTAGAACATTAGAACCTGTTAGAACATTAGAACCTGTTAGAACTTTAGAACCTGTTAGAACTGTTCACCTGAACTGCTCAGGGGGCACAGTTACTGCGAGAGACATCCAGCAGTTATTGTCATTAAGTTTGTTTAATGGTTTAAAATCTAGTTTTGTTTAAAAATGAACCCAATGTGGGCCGGACTGAGCTCCCCCTTGGGCCTGGTTCGGCCCCCGGGCCACCAGTTGAACACCCCTGCGTTAGAGCCCTCCTCATGGATGTGAGTGATGCAGCAGGAGAAGCTGCAGCCCCAGATACAAGTCTGGCTGCAAACACTGAGGTTCTGTTCAGGTTGAGACATTTTGACTGGACTCTGAACGTCTTTGATGCTAAAACCAGTTACGAATAAAACAACACGGTTTATTTTTAATGGGTCTCCGTAAACTGCTGCCTTATATATTACCGTAAATTACACCGGTTTAATGTGCTGCTCACAGAAACGTGGATGTTGCTCAAGTTAAATGAACACAGAATATTCAGGGTTTGCTTTATGAAAGAAGTCATTTTTATGTTTTTACAGTTTATAGATGTTAAAATGTCGGAGCGACTGCATCAAGTTTCTAAGTTAAAATAAATAGTTAGATAAAAAAAAACGTGAACAGTTAATGAAAAGATCCAGATCTAAATGTTTTTTTTATTTTTAATGTGTGTTTTTATGAAGCAGATGCAGATTCGTTCAGAGTCCAGGACCACAGGTGAGGGTAGGAATGTAGACCAAGTGGTAAACAGAGAGCTTTGTCTTACAGCTCAGCTCCCTCTTCACCACAATGGACCGGAACAGAGTCCACAATACTGCAGAAGTTGCTCCGGTCCATCTGTCAGTCTCACGCTCCATTCTTCCCTCACTGAGAACAAAACCAGAGAAACTTGAACTCCTCCACCGGAGGCAGAACCTCACCCAGGACCACCTCTGACTGAGGACCATGGACAGTGACACCCCAGAGAGGACGGTCCACCTTCAGATTCAGGACCAGGGACACCCCGGAGAGGACGGTCCACCTTCAGATTCAGGACCAGGGACACCCAGGAGAGGACGGTCCTCCCTCAGACTCAGGACCAGGGACACCCAGGAGAGGACCGTCCACCCTCATTCAGGACCAGGGACACCCAGGAGAGGACGGTCCCCCTCATTCAGGACCAGGGACACCCAGGAGAGGACAGTCTACCCTCAGACTCAGGACCAGGGACACCCAGGAGAGGACCGTCCCCCCTCAGACTCAGGGCCAG